TGTCGACAGGCTCAAGCTGTTGGAGTTGTGACTTGGAGGAAGAAGATATTAACCATATTTTAAGGTCGTGCCCACCAAACTATACAACTTGGAAACAACTTATTCCACAAGGAAAACTGGAGGAATTCATGTCGAGCGACCTGAAGACTTGGATAACGTAGAACCTAAAAGAATACTCCTTCACAACTGAAGAAGGAGAAATATGGACAATCCTATTTGGAGCTATCATTCGGACACTATAGAATAGAAAAAACAAGAGTATTTTTACGTGTATAACTGTGACACAAAAACAGTCCTGGAACAAGGAAGAAGGACAACAAAGGAAATATCTGCACTAGGAGCAAATGATAGCCCCCTCAATACCCGACACCAAAAGGATGCCTCTAAACCTTGAAGACCACCAAACTTAGGCTGGTGCAAGATCAATTCTGACGGAGCAAGACAACCAACGATAGGCGTAGACACATGCGGAGGAGTTATACGTGACTTCAAAGGGAGATGGATAATGGGATATATAAGGAAGATAGGTATTTGCTCAATAATTGAAACGGAGCTACGGGGAATCTCCGAAGGACTCCAAAGCGCCTGGAGGCTAGGAGAGAAACAAATGATCATTGAAACAGACAGTAGTGAGGTTACTAAACTGATCAGCGAAGAATCCCACACTGGAGGATGCTTAAGCCTAGTTCACCATATTGTGACGCTGCTGAAGCATAAGTGGGCAGTTAATGTAGAACACATACCAAGGGACAGGAATAGAGTAGCAGACTCACTAGCCATATTCGCTCAGACGATCCCGGATGGCCTTCAGGAACTTCCACAACCCCCAGAGGTGGTGGCAACCCTAATCCGAAAAGAAAGCTATAGTATAGCATAATTAGTTAGCTTTAGACTTGGTCTCCTTTCAAGAACAAAAAAAATTAAGATTTAGTACTAAAAAAATATTGTTTAAGAATGAATTTAAGGACATGAATGATTTGATTTAGAATATTATTGATGACTTATAGAATCAAATAGAAAATTAAATATATTGTAATTGTTATGGACAATAAAACTATAAATACTTAATATTTAAACATTAAAATCGTAAACATTAAATAATACATGTGATATTAAAATAGATAAAATATTACTCTTTTCATCTCATTAATGTCCCTTGTCGATTTTTTTTAAAATTAAAATTTTTAAACTTTGATCATGATTATTTTAAATAATTAGATTTTATAAAATATATATTTAAAGACTACTTGATTGAAGATTTTTGAATTATATTTTTTATCAATAATAAATTTTAAATAATAACGAGTCAAAGTTAAAAAAAATCAATAATAAATTGATTTAATGGGACAAAGAGGGTATTTAAACTTTCTATAATACTATCCATAAATGAACAAATAAATGTTATATAACCAATGAACTTAGAGAATTTATTTCTAATAAGTCTTTAGGGGTTAATTGGGAGTTACGAACTTGCATCCTTTTTAACAAACCTCGCAAATATATATTTCTCCAAATTTTACATTGCAGACTCTACAAATAAAAGAACTTGGGGTTTTGTCCAGGACTAGGCGTGGACAAAAAATTTTACAGCTAACATTTGTCCATGTTTTTGAATCACTTGGACCTTCTACAGCTAAAATAACACTAACCAATGCAGCCAAAAGTTTCTGACCTTGTTTTCCGAGCTCCAAAACATCATCGACAAATACCAAATATATTTAAGCCCAACCGGTTCAAAATCTACTTTAAGAGTTGACAATGGCATATAGTACATCTGGGAATCGAACTCTAACTACAAAGCTTATTTGTCCATCACCAGGTATGAGACAAAAAACAGCTTAGAAATTACAGAAAACAAAGAGAATGGAAGCTCTGAATTTGCTTAATAAAGCCTTTCGACAGTCCCTTTCAACTACATAGTCTTCAAGGATGCATTTGCTTTGTAACCATCGGATTCCTTTAATTTAGTTATCATCTTAGTACTTGTTCCTTTAGATAATATCTCAGACATTATTAAACGTTGTTCTAAAAACATTGTAAGAGCCAGTTGGCTAAGAGTTTTGGTTTCAGTTTCAGAGAAATGGACAACTTGTCAAGAAGCAACAGCAAAGCTTCTCAGCCTCATTCATCGGCTCCGTCCAAGCAGAAGCGAAGTGGTTATGAGCCATCGGATACCGAGGTCGAATGGCATGAAAGTCCGTGGAACGATCATAATAACCAAGACAGTGGAACATCCGATCTTGGCGAGGCAGGTAAAATTAAGTCCAATATGCCGAGAAACATTAGCTCTGTGAAACTCAGCCGAAGACAATCTTCAAAGTTTGAATATGATAAAGGGTCTCCACCTAGAAGAATTCCCCTCCCAAGGAGACATGCCAACAAGTCTCCTTACAAGACAAGGAGAGATGACGGTCGGAACATAAGCCCCTTGCCGAAATCCGAGCATCGGCGGCATGTCTCTCCTTATAAACCAGGGAGATTGGAGCATGCATTGAATGATGTAAAGGGAAATGGTGAGATTACTGGCTTGATCAGGAAGCAAATCCGTGGAAGTCCAACAGGAGACGAAATAAAAACGATTGGGCAGCTTGTTGGGGCTGAAAGAGGGAATGAAGATTTGAAATATAGTCATCGATCAACAAGTGCACCACCAAGACAAAGAGGGGAAAGGACACCGTCGCCAATCATAAAGAACATTATCCGTAAGAAAAGAGAAGCTCCCCCTGTGAAACAACCATCGGTAGGTGAAATCAATGAAATGGTTGCAAATGCAAAGATTTCTAAAAGTCCTATATATACTGCTCCTATGTACGAAAGCACAGAGTCCATTTCTCCTGGTGATATCTTCTTTTCTCGTGATACTGCTGCCTTGCCAAACCAGAAGAAAGATAACCCTCCCCGTCAACGACCAATAGCTAACCGAAATGTCAATCCAAAAGCTCGAGGATCGTCATCCAGCACTGGTTTTTCAAGAACAGCTATGACTGCAAGTTCAGCTACTAGCAGACAGAGTAGTGGTAAGCTCAGTGTTGAAAATAGCAAGATAAGTGATAGTAGTGGGAGTAGTTTAAACTCAGTGAAGTTCGCATCCAAAATGAAAAAGAGCCAAAGCGAGACCTGGTTTGCGTGTGTAATGAGGAGAGGATCCTGCAGAACCTCAAAGAAATCACCCGAAAGAGAAAAAGCCTTCGATGAGGCCTCGTTCATCGGAAAGGCATTCATTGTCGAAAAACTAAGGCAATTTTGGGCTGATCAATACCAGCCAACTTCTTTGAATGGATTCACCTGTCACAAACAAGAAGCTCAGATCCTGAAGCAACTTGTAAGTCCACCTAAAAGTTATTTTTGTTACTTAATTTTTCATCCAATAATGTTTAGTTTGCGATGCAAGTGATTCGGAAAATGGAACAAAATTATTTTCTACTGTAAACTTTTAGGTATCTCATCAGAGTTGTCCTCATATATTGTTCAAAGGACCATCTGGTTCTGGGAAAAGAGCACTAACAATGGCTTTTCTGCGTGAAATATACGGCGACCCTAGCTGGAATGTACGTTTTTTTCCGACAAAAACGATACCGGATTCTTTCACATATTCTAAAGTTTGTTAGATGCCTAAGCTAACTCTAGCTTCTTTTTTCCCCTTTTCATTATAGGTATCTCATGAATTAAAACAATTCCAGGTTCAGGTAGAAAATACTAAATAAAGCATCAAAGTTAATGAATACTAAGTAAAGCCTAAAGATGATTCTATCACCATTGATTTCAGAATTTGACATCTTGTGATTTGAATATGTGGATAGGAAAAAAGGGCAATGCAAGTTATTGTTCCAATTGCTTCAAGTGCTTTTCATGTTGAGCTTAATGTGACCAAGGAAACAAATGCTAAATATGCATTAATGGGATTAGTTAAGGAAATAAGCACCAATTATATAGCTACCCCAGAAGTCAGCAACGATAATTTCAAGACAAACTACAAAGGTTTAGTGTTTTTTTTTGGTTAGTTTTCTTACATATGTACAAAAACCTCTCTTTGACAGTTTAAAGTAATCGACTTAAAGCTAATAAGGTTTGATTTTAATTTCAGTTCTAGTTCTTTATGATGTTGACAAGGCACCAGATAATATTCGTCACTTGATCAAATGGATCATGGACTGTCATTCGGATTCATGTAAATTCATTCTTTGCTGTGAAGATGATGTGAATATTGTAGAATCGGTAACCAGTCACTGCAGAGTCATAAAAGTCGATGCCCCGGTAACTCATGAGGTAAGTATTCTATTAGCTTAGTTCAGGCATATGAATGTTGCGTATAGGGTTGATCAAATAAGAACATGCCTTACTAAGTGCTTTAAATCTAATCAAGTCATCGTTACAACTTCTATTTCGCAGATCATGGAGTTATTAATTCAGATTGCAAGGAAAGAAGACTTTGAGCTATCTATGAACTTTGCTGCTAAGATTGCTGCCAAATCAAAGCAAAACCTGAGGAAAGCAATCATGGCTCTTGAAGCCTGCAAAGCACACAAGTAAGAACTTAGCAAATACCGAGTAGATGCTAGATTCCAATAAATTGACATGTAAACCATTTTACCCCGTATAAGGCTCCACTTCTTTTTTCTTATGTGTGAAATTGTGAGTGGTATATTCTGCCGTTGCAGATATCCATTTGCCGATGACCAGCCTATTCCACTTGAATGGGAAGAGGTAGTGACGGAACTCGCAACTGAAATCCTGGCCGATCCATCACATAAAAGGTGAGTTTTTTAGCGTTTATATTTTGAAATGTTATCTTGGCTTTTAAAGAAAAAACAGCAGTGACACTCCATATCATTGTCAGATTACCTTCTGTAAGGGCAAAGCTTCAAAAACTTGTTGGGGATTTTGTTCATCCTAAACTGATCCTCCAGGTGATGAATTTGAAACCATTAAATGGTGAAAAAAGCTGCTAAGAATTCTAATTTATTTCTCTGACATAGTTGTTTTCTTCCAAGCTGCAGAAACTGGTAGAAGAGTTTCTAAAGAAAGTTGAAGCCGGTTTAAAAAGGGAACTTTATTACTGGCATGCCTACTACGTAAGTTTAGTTCCTGATATTGTCGCTTTGTTTTGCAGACAAGAAAAAGTAACTTACAATTTATTTGTTCCAGGAAAAGAGACTCCCAGCAGGAACAAGTGCTTTGTTGAAATTAGAAGGTGAACTTTGACATTTCTTATGATACTTTTTTTTTTCGTCGCCTTAAATTTTTTAGAAGAATCCTCTGTTTATTCTCCTTTTTCTTTTTCTCCTTGCAGAGTTCGTGGCCAAGTTTATAGGCATACATAGGAAGAGTTCTGCCAATGGTCAGTGTGTGTAACATTGAGCTAACTATGCCTTTGTTCAATTAATTTTGTTGCAATTAGTAAATACTGAAAATCTCTGTTCTTGTGGAAATATGTTATCACTCGGATAGGATAAGAACGATCGAGCTCAAATATGTTACCTGTGTTACAAAGTCTAGTGTATGTCCAACAGGAATATAATGAAACATGCGAAAAACAAGTAAATGATCGTTGGCAATCATGTCTCATTTAGATTTCACCCAAACCCAAACTTTGTGCATAAGGAGAAAGAGAATAGGTACAAGTGGTTAACTAAAACCTTGATGTTGGCTATGTATGTTTTGCCTAGTTTCACCACACAGCAGTAAGTATAGGTACAAGTGGTCAACTACATACATGAGAACCCCGAACTAAAACCTTAGCAATCTATCCAGACAGTTTCGAAACTCCAACACATGCATGTTCTATTTTTGATTTTGTAATAACTAAAAGCAACAAAAACAAGATAGCTATCCAAAGTTTTCACTTCTGTGATCACCCTTCAGTTTCTTGGTGTACCACTACTACTTGCAGACTTCTTATTGGTATACCTCTGCCAATACGAATAGATATACTATAAGTTCCAAGAAGAATGGAGGAAACCGAAAACCCGAACGTAAGGCAACTTATTGAAGTTAGTCGGCTAATACATGTTTTCCGATATCGAAGCAGGGTCATGGCTGAGGGTGTGAAAAGTGCGCGACGGCGCAGGGCCCCAAAAAAAGGGGTCCCAAAATCGAGTATATCTATCAGTTGTTGTCATTAAGAAGCTCCAAAAAAATAGGGGCCCCGAAATCGAGTATATCTATCAGTTGCTGTCATTAAGAAGCCCCAAAAAATAGGGACCCAAAAATAAATTCGAAATCTAAGGGGCCCTTTATAAGAATTTGCACAGGACCTCCAACAACCTAGTCACGGCCCTATATCGAAGGACACATATTTGTATTTGATCATGTGCAGAATTTGGCGTTTCATTATGAGGAAAAAGAGAAAAACCCAGTAGCATAGCAATATTGGCCAGAAAACAGGTACATCCAACATGGAGAAGAAAGTCAATACAATGCAATTACAAAAGCCTTTGTGATGGCATACTTGATGTAACACCCACCGACCGATGCGGGTGACCTGATCCGATCTGAGGTATCACATTAGGGCCATCGGAGCGACCCACAATAAAAATCCGGGAAAAAATTAAAATTTTGTTAAAAGCGCGTAAAATCATAAACAATTTATAATTAAAATACAAGTTCAGAAAACCATTCATATATTACAAACATAATTAAAATCATACAAGTATAAGACTCATTATAAAAATCAAATGTGACCTACATGTCCCCTAATTATATTTGTATCGTACTCTGCAAGAAAAGCCGAATGGAACTTCCCATACTAAAGTTGATAGCTGCGTTGGATCGATTTTTTTTAACCTGAAATGGAGAGTAAAAGAGTGAGCTTTGGAAACTCAGTAATACATAATTACTAAGTGATGCTGAAGGACATGCAAATAAATGGAAAGTAATAAAAAAATTTCCCTAATGATTCAGACTTCTATAGGTTGTTGTGATGAGTTGAGGTTTCACTGATATTTCTTTAAGTACAAAACATGAAGCTTACATTTCAGAGGAAACGTTCAGAGGACCCGATTCAGAAGATCAGAATAGGGTGTCTAGTGTGTTCTAACAAAACAGAGTAACATATATAAATCCTTTAAAACCGTTAGTAGTTTAAAACATATTGTAAAACCACACTAATGGCCTCCAACCGAACACCGTTATGCAGTTCCCCAAAACTGCATTCATAAGGTCTTACCCTAAGCACACAACAAAGGAGCCACCCTAAGGGAGTACCTTGGGGTCTGTGGGCCTACCCAAGGGTCTCCTTAGGTCCGTAAGGAATTACCAACTTGATCAGAATTAAACCTCCATACTCCAGAATCCTACCCATACAGTATCCAGTAGAAATCAGATTTAACAATATATTGTAATATCAGGATCGTGATCTAGTAAAATCTCATAAGAGTGACAATTAAATAAACCACATTACTGCCCTCCACCCATACACCATATGCAATCCCAAGATTTACCCAAGGTGGTGCCTTGGGGCCTGAGAGATAAGGTCTTACCCTAAGCACACAACAAAGGAGCCACCCTAAGGGAGTACCTTGGGGTCTGTGGGCCTACCCAAGGGTCTCCTTAGGTCCGTAAGGAATTACCAACTTGATCAGAATTAAACCTCCATACTCCAGAATCCTACCCATACAGTATCCAGTAGAAATCAGATTTAACAATATATTGTAATATCAGGATCGTGATCTAGTAAAATCTCATAAGAGTGACAATAAAATAAACCACATTACTGCCCTCCACCCATACACCATATGCAATCCCAAGATTTACCCAAGGTGGTGCCTTGGGGCCTGAGAGCCTACCCAAGAAAGTTTCTTGGGGCCTCGGAGCCTACCCAAGGGTCACCTTAGGTCCGTAAGAATTTACCAGCTTGATTAGAGCTAAACCTCCATACTCCAGCCTACGTAGATAATTTCCCAATAAAACAGTTCAAGTAGTAACCAGTAGATTCCATGATCCATAAATCAGGAATGATTATATTTTCTAATGAAAACAAGAAACCATATAACACGTTTTAGGAAACCATAGTTTATAAACCAGTAGATTACATGATCCATAAATCAAGAACAATTATATTTTCCAGTGAAAATAGGAAACCAGAGGACACATATCATGTAGACATAGTTCAGTTAAAAGTAAATCAAAACATCAGTAAATCTGAAATTTCGGAAAATCACGTTTTAAAACAGGTAAAACATTTACATGTCACATAAGGAACACACTAGAGGATCCAGATATTCTTCAGAGCTACTTGGTGACCCGGAATGTATTCATAATCTTTTGTATCATGGTTACTTAAGATTTCAAGTATGACATGAATGATTCTATTATTCAAACAAACAAGGGTATTTCAGACATTTTGATTCTTGGAGAATTCTTAGTAATTTAACTCAATAAGGATAGAGCAATGATTTCTGGTATTCAAGATTACGTATTGAATTATCAGGATTTCGAGTTTGATTGAACTACAGATCCCAATACTGCGATACTTGTCAATCATTCAGACCGTGATGCTTTCATATTATTGATAAGTTCTTTATTTGGTTAATATTTTGCTTTTAAATTGCTCCTTAATCATTGGTTTTTATGGTTTATTTGTTCGTTTTAATTCATTTTCTGTGCAGGACACTGGATTCTGGAAATTGCACTAAAAACACAAAATTTTATAGTTTTTTTTATTTTCGGAATCAAAGTCGGATTAGTGGGTATGACTTTGGACATGAAACATCTGACGTGGCGATGACGTCCGTACCTTCTAGAAGAACGAATGGATCAACTGCACATTTCTGCGATTCGGATTTGAATTAAACTCATGTTTTTAGGATATTATTTTAAATATTATATTATATTATATTTTATCTTATCTTTGTTTTAGGTATTTTAGTTTAAATAGTCTTAAGTATTTTAATTAGGATTTATTTTCTTTATTTTAGGAATTATCTTTAGCTTGTTTTTAGGATTTTGAATGCTATAAATACCCTCTTAGGGTAAGCCTAGAAATACATCTCTCAACAACTGAGAATTTACTCTTCTTCTCTCTAGTTTTATAAAATTTTCTCTTTTATTTCCTTTCAAGTTTTCAAAATTTCTTTATTTTATTTTAAAATTTTGTTTTCAAATATGCTAAGTATGACTCTGGTCATGCTTAGCTAATTTTCTTTTAAGTCGTAGGCTCAATTCCAAACGTGAGAATTGTAAGGCACTTAAATCGCTTTGGATTTTTCTCTATGTTTTCTGGGCTTATTTTCAAATCAAAACGATTTTCAAAACCAAAAGTCGGCGTTGGTCTAGATGTTGTTATGGTTAACATGGGAAGGAGGATCGACTTATGGAAGCACATTTGACTTCATGTGAATACACATAGTAAAATTGTTTGCTAAGAGGAAACTGAGAATGAAATCAGTTATTGTTGAAACAACATAATCTAAGTCGATAGCTTTTCGAACTTCAACATTTTAAGATCTACAACATTGTTGTAACTTAGATCAACTCACAAACCAAAATTTAAGAGTGCACTTGGATATTCGATATACAAGGCATATTCACAAGGATTTGTCCTTGTAAGTAACCGGCGTGAATCTTGAAGTAAAGATCTATTTCGATGATCCGAGTAATTTGAGGCAAAGCTGAAGCCTGAGGCTTTTCTTACCATAAGTTTTATTTATCTCAATTTATTTATTTTATTTATTTGTTTATTAAATCTTTATCTCATTTTATTTATTTAAACGGTTTAAAAACTCTCATTTTTATCTTTATAATTATCTTATAATTATTATTTATTATTTTACCCTTATCTTTATTTTATTATTTTATTTTTATCTTTATCTTAAATTATATCTTCTTCTAAATCAAAAAGTCTACTAAATCAGAAACACCAGAGTCCCTGTGGATCAACCTTGCTTCTCTATACTACTCTCACTTTTTACTTATTAAGAAGTCGGAATTATTTTGATCGCAAAACGACAGTTATCAAATTGGCGTCTTTGCCGGGGACTAACGACAAGTACTGATTTATTTTTGATTTATGACCAGAAGAAACCTAGATGAATTATTAGATCTTGACCCGAAGATCGAAGCACGAGCATGAAGAATCCACACACAAACGCTTCGAGAAAAAAGAAAGAGACGAGAAGAGCATGTTCAGAAATGGAATCAAATTCGGAAACAAACTCTGAAGAGCCACATATAACGAAGATCAAATCCCGATAGCATAAGAAGAAGAACAAACGATCAGAGAGCTAGCCGCATCTCCTGTCACTCAAACGCCATTATGCATTACTTTTCCTAATGGCGGGACTCAATTCCATTTAAAGACGGGACTTATAGATCTTCTTCCCACTTTCCATGGCTTTCCTACTAAAGATTTGCACAAACACTTGTTGGAGATCCACGTGGTTTGCACTAGCATGA